GTTTATCTCATGCCAATGTATCTTTTTCCTAACATCGCGTAAAACTCTTATTTATGGCTATTTGATCAATTGAGGTGTTGCTAACGTGTCGCTTTCCATCATTGTTTTATACTATTTGCAGACTCAACCTAATTTTCGCTGATTTGTATTCGACTGAACTTCGTGATGTCAGAGATGAAGTTTTTGATGATTTTTCCAGCAATCATGGTCACCTTGGCTCTCCTAAACATGATCACAACAACAGAAGGTCGAACGTAAGTCTCGTTAGTTCGTGAAAGCTAAATTTGTTCTATATTTAACCTCACAGTTTATTTTTCTACATTTTCCTCGTCAAGATAACATTTTCCCTTTTATTCGGCAGAGCTGACCCAGGATCAGCCATCGTTAATTCCATACAGGTATGTTACTTTCAGTTTATTATCTCTAATCTATTTCAACCTAAGATCATTTAAGGGTTGGCCTCTTTACAACTAAAAGAATAGCGACCGGAAGATGTTTTGTACTTACTTACTTCTTGGCTTTTTTCTTTAAACTCAGGATGCTACCAAAAGAATGAAAATCATGAGAGCCGGATTGAGCAGGGGTCTTGGGGAATGCCAAAGGCTATATAAAGACGAGCTCTGGGACTGCAGTTTTTATAACAAAAGCGTGACTGGAAATTTACCTGACTTTGTTCAAAGAACTTTGCCTTATGGTAAGAGGTCTTATAATCATTTCATACATGCATCATACACAAGGTAACTTGACTCTGTATTAAGCAGGACTAAGTACATTGCGGATATTCAAGCTTCTTATTAAAGCTTCTATCTCAGGATCCTTCTCATTCTACTTTTAAGATCAAATTAATAATAAAGAATAATGGTGAAAACCATGATGATAAACATTATATTGATAAAAATAATCATTGACCTGAGATTTGTAGATAGATTTAGAAAATAAAGAGATTTTCCTCGTGGTATTATTCCCTTTTTTTTCAAATGTCTTAAGCTATTTAACTTATATTTCTAAACAGCTAACTTCTTTCTGTTGCAGCGAACAAAGAGACAGCGTTTCTACATGCAATCACCACCGCTGGCATCCTACAAGAAATCGTTTCTCAGTGTGCTGCAAATAAAATCACCGAATGTAGCTGTGACAAAAAAGCACAACGAACTTCTAGATGTGGGAACAACCTGACGTTTGCCGCGGAGGTGACGCTGAACCTCTTAAGACCTCGACCACAAGGGAACAACGATCGAAGAGAAATCGACGAAAAGAATCAAAATGTGGGAATAGAGGTAAATGAGATTTACTTATTTTATTAATTCTAATATTTCATTTTTTGTTTGCTCACTTATCTATCAATTTTGCTGCCACTTTTTATTCAAATACCTATCATTTATCTCTTTCAACCATAAGACAATAATGGCATCTCATTTTTGAGGAATCGATTAAGAGGTCACGTCTCCTCTAACTGTACTCTACGTGCATTCTCCTTGGGGTTATTTCACCAAATGAACTCTAAAACTGTTTCTATGCTGGGAGCGACAAGAAGACCCAACCTGGCTTAAAGGGTAATGTGTTGTCAAACAGGATATGCTGTTTAGCATGGAAACTAGCCTAATTTAATGCGTGAACTTGGCGGTGTGTTATCAATATGAGTGGCATAAACAACTCTTGTTAATCTATATTCCTGAATCTCATATTCCTTGGGAACACTTACATTTTTTTTTTCTTCCGGAAGGAAACACCGCCTTTACATATTCACTTGCAGACACCTGCTTAACGCTCGTAGCTATTGGCGAAACTCTGCGATCGTTACCATAGTGATTGCCTATGGGCTTCCTATACAACCAGCCTTGGCACTAAGCTATGGTTTGTATGGTTAATACAATGCTCGCTGATTATTCTGACCAATGTTTTCGTATCCAAATAGGTTTTCAAGGGGAATTACAAGAATTGTCTGAGTAGAGTGCCTAAAAAATGCGATAAATGGCAGGAAGTTGCAAAAGAACTGAAAAACAAATATCAATCTGCCGTCAAGAGCAATAATGTGCAACAGCAGCAGCTCAGTATGGGAAAGGTTTTCCGCAGAAATCACATGCAGCTGCTGGTACTAACTTATCAGGATTCGTCGCCTGATTATTGCCAACGTAATGTGACCGCTGGCTCTCCAGGCCTGGAAGGAAGGGTATGCGGAAATGATAGAAAAAAAACACGTCACTGTAGGTCACTGTGTAGGCAATGTGGCTTGAAACTCATGAGGGAGAGACGAGGGAGTCCAATCAACACGGTTACAGTCTGCAGGCAGAGGAAAAGAAGCCACCAAAACCGTAAAGGTCATAACAAGGGAAACCGTTCACCTTAAGAAAGCATTTTCTCGTCATTATAGATAAATAGTATAGGCCTTATGTTGCTGAGGCAATTTCATTGAGAAAAGCACTTCGAGCTTTAGTCTTCACGTTCAGCTGCTTCTTAGCGTCAGGCTCATAAATGCATCGCTTGCAAGTTTTAGTGACACAGTAAACCCACATTTTTGTCTTATTTTATATTATATTTCCGCATCTATACAACCAAACAATGAACTTGACAGTGCTTATAAACACGTTCGTCGACTGCTTTCCAAGAGGAAAGTATACGTAGATCTAGAGGCGATATTTTCCATAGATGTGATTTGTCCGTACGATTTCAGATAATCTTGAGAGCTCACACTTTGTAACAAGCTGCATTACCTGTTATTTGGATTAATAGTAGCAGTATTTTACCCTGTCTCTGTTTTATTACGCTCTGCAGTTTTATACAGGCATAGCAGATAATGACCGAGCACATTTGATGAACATGTGTTGGCCTTGTTAAAAAACTATTTCCTCTAGGAAAAAATGAATAATAAATTGATAAAAATGTCTTTGGTAAAATCTTGTCACTTTTGAGAAATTTAGTATTATGAGTAATTAACGCGTGGGCTTCGGGCACGGTTAGCGGCGCAAATTTGGTTTTCCTTTCATATTAGGGGGAGATATTAGCCCAGTACTGAGATAAACATGAAATCTTTGAGGTCCATCCCAATAAGTGACAGAAATTTCCTTTCCGACTCCTGTGACTTGATAACCAGATATCCTTCTCATAAACATGATGTATAATTTTTTTTTTTCTGAGAAAAGAATGGTGGGATGTAAAAAGCGTCCAAAAGTTTGAACAAACATTTGCGAATTTCATCGTGAGTAAGTGGCGTACTTTCAGGCCGTTAGAATCAACTTGTCTCACAGGAGTTCAGTATTAACAAGCACACAAACCAGTGTTCAAAAAGTCTCGAGTTTCCTTTTTTCCTCATACATTCTGCTTGACAACGGTAGTTTTGTATGTTTTCCTTTAAAATTTTGAGCGGTGATTTCATGCAACTAACCGAAACTGATTCCCCTGTGTATGCTCTACATTCGTCCACTATGTTGGTGAGGTGAGATCTCGGAAACCTATCCTAAAAAGTAGTTTTAAAACCTTAAAGTAGAATTGACGTTAAATGATATTTTTCCTGTTGACACTCAATTTAATAGGCTAAAATGTGCACTGCCGAATAATGCCTACAGTTCTTTCTGTTCAAGAAGAGTTTTACCGAAAGAGCGGGTCGGGAGAAAAAAGAGACATCATGTTTCGTTTATGTAAGTTAGTATGCTGCACGAAAAGTCTTTTAATACGAGTTACTTTCCGTTCCTCAATCCACTCAGTGACACAGCTACCTGAATCCTCTCGAGCAAGAGAATATAAACAGTTCATAATATCTTGTCTCGAGCGATGTATAACCTTTCAACCTGCACGCATCTAAGCATTTCTGCATAGACTTATCATATTACAACGCGATTTCGCGAGTGGAGGGGGAGAGAACTAGCGAGGAAGAGTAAATCTAATCAGCTCGCAGCAGATTCTTGTGTCGCAAACATTCTTCGGTCAAATATTAAAAGCTGACCAAATCTATCGACGAATAAGGACACCAAGGTTTGTCAAGTGAAAAGTATACATTTCAAAATCAAACTCCTAAATTTGTGAGAAAGATTGACTTTTGCAAGCCCAACATACATGCTATAAAACTCAGATATTTCGATACTTTGAACCAAACGATCGTTATAAAATCCCCCAAATATTGCATATATGTTTCAACGTCAACCACAATCAGATTATCATCCACTAACGTAGGAGTTATCAGAAAACAATCAATCACTAATGGTCTAGGAACCGAAATAAGAGGCTGTAATTGACCCCATTTCGAAAATTCCAAGCACGTTCTACAAGATGGAAGAGGATTGTGTGGGACTCTTTTTCTTTTATCATCGCATCTAACTCACATCACCCCAAATATGCTAATACCAATACCTAATGCCAAATGTCACGCGACAGTATATGAACCTATTTTCGGTGGGAGCGCTGATTTACAGGAGCCATCAAGAAAGAAGCCAACGTGACTGCTTTTTGAACACGATTAAGATTTAGGGAGAACTGGAACGAAGTCTTCAGTAGGGAATTTTATTTACTTACATCTCAATATTACAAATTTTCGACTTTTTTGTTAAATTTTTCATTTCATAACCTAAAATGTGTCATCAGCGCGATCTGGAATAAAGGAAACTAGAACTTCTTGAATTGGAATGTTTTGAAGAATATTAAGCAGCGAAACATTTTCAATTGCTCCACATCAGAGACTGTCAGTAAAGTGTGGCATATTGATCATGCCCTCATTGCAGAGACTTCTTAGAAAGGGAAGCTTTAAAATTTTTAAACGACTTCAAGGCGGCTCGGGGAAAGAGGGTTTTAAAACATGGCAAATAACTACAGTCAAAAATCATTTTGATGTTTTTCACTTAAGTTAAATGAAATTCTAACCTTCAAGCACTTAAGCGAAAAGTGACGCCAAATGCTAAACCGCAAGAAGGACATTTAGAGTACAAGATAATTAGATCATATCATTTAGATCACGTACTCTACGAATTAAAAACGGAATAAATCACAGATCGGAATAAGTCAGGGAAAGAGACGATGCAAATTTTCTTGAAATGTAGCTGTTTACTGCGCATTGTTGAGGCCTCATCATCACAGTCATGTATGATAGTGATATTCAATGAGATCCAATCTATTAGTTAGTCGTTAAGTGATCAGAAATGGCTTAGGAAATAAGTCAGACTTTTAACTCGAAAATTCTTATGACCTATGAAGATTACCTTATCCGTTTTGCCTTTTATCGTTGAACACAACATCACGAATGTGCTCAGTTACACAAGAAATGTCCAGCACGCTATTTGAATTGTAATTTCCACTTTTGTGTTCATTTTACAGCATACAAGGTGACCTTCTTTGTCTGCGAGCAATCAGCAAGAAAAGGACACAGAAAAGTTCATTTTCATTGGTTTAATTTTGAATCCTAATTATATTTGTTGTTGCGTCTCGTTACTGCTCGGGCATCTTTCGTCTTTTCGTCTACACAAAACCATCTTTACAATTTCAATTTCTTTCTTAAATTCCCATCGATTTGTATTCATCTCTAAAAGTGATTATCTTCCAGTTACGTGCAAAAAATGCATGTGTAACGTGATGTTCTTAAAATACAATACTGATTTAATTCTAATCAGCCACATTTGATTGCCCAAAATTCCACGAACAAAACTTGTTATTTACTTGGAAAAGCGGGTTTTACTTGTTTAAACAGCTCAGCTGTCATAAATTTTTTCTAGTAATTTTAAGGTCTCTCCAGACTTCAAATTGGTACTTCAAGGATATTTTAAAATTTGAATCCTTTAATTCTCTTTCCAAGAAGATGCAGATGTTCCACACTCCTCACTACAGTCTGCGTTCCTGGTCTTGTCCGACAGAGATGTAAAGTATGTTAATAACTAGAGCAAAATAGTTTCAGGAAAATCGCGAAAAAGGCGAATTTTGCAAACACCAGTGCGGGCTGAGTTTTTTACGACATAATAAAAAATGGCTGACGATTTTGAATAGGTAAAAGGTATAAGGCAGTTGGCACTCGAGCCAGGTAAGCGACTGAGAGTATCTTAAGAGTTCTTGATTGCATACTTTATAGTTTGGCGTTTTTCAGTGTACACTTAGAGAAAATGATTATATACTTATGGTAGACGAGATAATTTGGCTCTAGGAACATGAAAGGCATGAATGGGTCGCAATAATGAATGCAAAAAAGTGGTTTGGCGATAGAATGGCGTGCAAGGAAATCAATGTGCTAATGTAAAGCATTACATAATTTGCGTTCATACAAGAGATCACACGTGTTACATTATTATATAATCATCCCTGGTGATTCTCTTTAGTTCAAAGTCCTTCTCAGAAGCACTGGTTAGTGATTATAAGTTTAGTGTCGTGGATGGGGAATCCTTCAGTTTTCGCCTGGGAGGCGCTACATGTTGCTAGAACGCTAGAAGCTGCGGAGCGTCATTTTCATAGCGGGTTGATCCACGAACTCAGGGAGAAATTTGAGGAAAACTTAAAGGTGAACAGAAAGTCCAATGAAACTCAACTGAGCTTCAAGCAGTAAAAGGTACTCAGATGAAAAGCCAAGTACTTCTGTCTGGCACAATCAGGTACTTAGCTGAAGACTTCCCAAGATCAAGAATAAACAGATATCCGGACGAGCAGCAGATGAGATATTGTGCCGTGAAGGCATTATGAGCTTACACGTGATCGAATGCATGGAGCGAAGAAACAACCGCATGGAAAAAAAAAATCGGCCACAGAGATAAGTCGTGTACTTTTTTCATTATTGTGTCTCACGTTATTGCGTAATGATAATGTCTTCTTATTCTTTAAACGACCACAATGATTATATAATACACCCTTTTTAGCGAACGAATTTATTTTTGTCTCTTGCACGCTTTCGCTGGTTATGAGACAGTTCGCGTTAGAAAGGAGATCCCAATAGACTTAAGATGGTGATTTTGGTGTGTTTGAAAATCCATAGAGATATCTTAAGTCTGAAACGGTGATAGCAGGGAATAGATTTCAAGCTGGTCTTACTGTGAAACGTACGTTCAATTTCGTGCAAACGACCGAGAACCGAGAAAAATTATGAAAAAAAATTTAATGCTGGCATTTTTATCGAAAAAGGTAATTTGCACTTGTATTCATTTGCTCGGAAACCATTATTCATCCACTATATATATATATATATATTAATTGAAAGCAATGATTGCGTTGCAAACCGAATTGATGAATACGAGAGTATGGTAAATTTAGCTGTGCATTGGTTTATCAAGACTATCAAGGTCGCATTCAGTATCAACAATGTTATTAATAAAAGTCAGTGGTTTTAACATCACAAAAATACTCAATACAATCTAAGTCATACTAGCAGAATCCATAGATGTTGTTATTGTAGTACCATGCTGAATGCTCCTCAAAATTTGAGCTCAGATGCCGCCGAAATTTCAAAATATTTTGAAAATTGTTTGCACTCCTTTGGGTGCAAAAAATTGACATATATGTAGATATTTGTTTCGTTTTCTTTCATTCTAAGAGAAAAGTTTTTCCTGTTAGAAATTCAAACTTTAAATAAATTAACCATATTTTCACATTCTGCACTCAGGCATTTTATCGAAACTACGGAGTGTTTGCGATACTGAAGCGTAAAGTTGAACTCCCGAATTTATGCCAACTCACCATCGACACAAGAGCAATGATCATACTTCCAAGATCATGGTAAGCATCAATTTTCCACATTTTCTTCCATACATTTAAGATCTGGTTGATGTTTCTCTTGTCTCCCATTACCTTTGTTCTTAAAAATATATGGATGTTGTAAGGAGCAATGCAACTTTGGTCAGTCCTTAGGGTTATAAGGGAAATCGATGATGAAATGGTTAGAATGTCCTTTCTTATGAGATGCCGTTCTGTTTTTCTCTTACATTGTCTGCTTCCAATGTTTGAATCACGTAGCTACTTGAATCAGTATCCAACAATGAATGCAATATGTTATAATGTGCAATAAAATGCTTGTATGATAATATTTTGAAAAGAATTTGAAGCAGGATCAATGTTTTCGACTAACACTGATACACTAACAGAAACAATATATTATTTAATCATATCTTTAATTTGCCTGGAAAGGTACCGAATGATGTTATGGAAAAACTGTGAGAAATTTCCGGCCAACACACGATGACAGGCAATCCTCACCCCTAGAAACTATACCCTTTCTCAAGGAAAGGAAGGAAGAAAAATCCAAGGAGCCATATTGATAAAGTTCCTTCTAGTCCCTGAGGAAACAGATGGCCCTTCCTCTCTGAAAGTTGAAAGATACAAATTCCGATGAACAATCACTAACAATCGATTGCCTATCTATTCCGTCATTTAGCCTTCTTGTAGTGCATAAACGCACGTGTGATTGAAATAGATTAATTGAAACTGAAAGTTTTGTAAAGCCCCTTTCGTGTGACACCAACTAGCCACTAGCTTAATTACTTTTACTTCAGACCAAGTAATAAAGGCATAGGGTAAAAACAGACTGGACCATTGGAAGCTTGGACTTATTTTTGGGCTATGTTCTGAACCTTTCTTTGGACCTTTTTATCTTGGACCAATTTATCGGGGAAAGGTAGACCATTAGCACTTAGGGAGAGGTGGGATGTAGTTTACCAGTATTCAGGGAGGGGTTGGAGGCAGACTGTTGTTACTGAGGTAAAGGGGAGGACGAACTATTAGTACGCAAGGAGGGGTGGGAGGTTATTGTATTATTAAATACTACTGATTGATGAAGTTTTCACTAGAGTATACATGTTATTCTGATCGGTTTCTCGACTGACTATTTTATGTCAAAATTTTTGCGCTAGGCCGTACCGTTTCTTGATTTTTTTTGCGATGCAAATGAGAAACTGGTACCTAAACACTAGACTAAAATTGTTATTGAAAATATCGCCAATTCCCGTTTTCGATCTTTCACTGTTGAGTCATGCGTGTGCCTGTTAACTGGACTTGTGCCAGCACTAAATGATACTCACGGGTTAGCATAAATCATCCATCAGTTGATTCATGGTTCCCTTTGTGTATACGGTAGGTCGTTCAATTTAGCTATCTTCCTTTTGTCATTGATCTTAGCAGACAACAAAGATCACGGAATTTCCGGTCCTTAGTATAATATTCACAAGCGTTATTGCAATTTTCATGTTTATATCTTTGCCATGAAACATTGTTGGTACAGTCGTACAAAGCAATCTTGTCTCTTTTCAGATACACAGTTTTCCTTATTAGATACACTCAACTCACGCCTTAAGTTGACTGTCATGTCACGCATTTCACTACGTAAATTGACGATTAAGAAAGCACAGCTTTAGCGCTGGATCATTTTATAAATACCAGATTTGCATTTTATGGCTTAATGGCGCAATTTTTCTTTCACATAGCCGTTGCGTTGATTCATTAAATCCACACAAGTGCAAAATACAGAATTACCTCTCTCGAAAATTACGGATTTCTAATTCACAAATTAAAATTTTCCTTTTCGCAAATTACCGATGTAAGTTAATTTTACAAATTACATTTTTTCATTCCGTTTCGTTTCGTAAATTATACTAAGCCCTCTCAGAGACAATGACAAAGCGACTTCTATGTTTCGCAATGACTTGAGAGAACCTACAATCTCTTTCCAATTTCTGAACCAGATAAAGTTGATAAGTGTCTGCTAACCTCAGACCAGATCAAAATATTATGCAGAAAAAGGAAAAAAACCCAACTGTACAAAGAAAGTTAAAGTGCGTGGGCTATGAGGAAATAGCACTTAAAGCCGGAAAACTATGTATCTAAAAAGAGAGAAGATTACTTTCTATGAAACTACCAAAATGTTTTTATAGTAAAGGTGCAAACACTAAAATTGCGATAACGCTTGTGAATGCTAAGTTAAGAGCTAACGATCGGAAACTTCGGGATCTCTGTCGTCCGGGTAAGATAAATGACCAGAAGAAGATAGATAAATTTAGAAGTGATATACTGTACACACAAAGGGAAACGTAAAGCAACTGATGGATGATTCGTGATAACCCGTGAGTGTTATTTAGCACCGGCACAATTCGACCTCAAAGGCACACGCACGACTCAACAGTGGAGGATCGAAAACGGAAATTGGTGATACTTTCAATAACAATTATAGTCCAGTGTTTAGGTGCTAGTTTCGCATTCGCATGACCAAAAAATAAAGAAACGCTACGGCCCAGCGCAAAAATTTTGACATAAAAATAGTCAATCGAAAAGGCGCTCAAAATAATTTGTATGATCCAGTGAAACTCCATTATCAGTAGCATTTACTAATACAACAACCGCCCAGCCCTCCCTGAGTACTAATAGCTCGTCCTCCACCCCTCCCTCAGTGACAAAAGTCCGCCTCCCACCCCTATCTGAGTACTGATAGACTGCATGCCACCCCTCCCTAAGTTCTAATGGTCTGCCTCCGCCATATAAAATTGGTCCAAAAAAGTTTCAAAAAATGGTCCAAATGTGGTCAAAAAATAGTCCAAAAAAAGTCCAGTGGTCCAAGAGTCCGATGGTCCAGTCTTTATTTCACCCTATGCCCTTAACCAGCACTAGAAAGGTGATCTTCATCTTATGGAGAAGGCTTTGCACTTCAACAATCTCATCAACATAAGCTTTTAAGTTTTGTCTCGTAGAGAACGCTTATCTAGAGCCGTTTAGCACAAATGAGTCTCAAATGTCAATTAGAGATAGATTCCAGCAGCTGATCAGGATTAGCTAAGTACACGAACAACTTCTCTGAATTTGTAACCTAATTAGTCTGAAATTGAAACATTGCCATTTTAAAATGACTGTGGTCTGGTATTGTGTTATCAGATATCAGAAACGGTTGGTCTAATCTAATAACAATGGCTGCTGTTTAAGACGGACCAACTTCCGGGTAGGATTCATTTCTGGCTAGCAGCCATTGCAACTGAAGCAGCGGTTTTCATTTAAAGAAGTTCAGGTTCCATACTTATAATAGCGCATGCGTAAAAGTCAAAAATAGATATAAGGTGATGTCATCGAATATTCCAAAATGGCGCCTACTCCAACAGACACAATACATGTTCCCTTCTGAGCTCTCTAAGAGCATTGTAGAAAAACAACATTTAGGAAGGGAGTAAAAATGTCAGATCTTTGTAACATTTCCGTCCGACTCAGAGCAGACACTTTTGAAAGTGTAAGTGATTTAGTTCCAGTATGAACATCTTCACGAGAAGGCGCCACATATATTGAACAATAAGGTCGGTAAATCTTTTTTCAGTCTTATACAAAGTTGCTATTGGAATCTAAGTAAGATTTGGTTGTATATGGTTGTAATTTTAGTCGTATAGAAATCCCTTTTCGTACATTCGTGTAATCTCAAACATGCAGCAACGACTCTGCCCATGTGATTCATCGCTCGATTTTATGATTATGATGCCACGTTCCAAATTTTTGCGCTCTTGCAATCCGATGGAAAACATAATTGCTTCGTTATCTTATAGTAAAGATGCTAGTTGTGTGCAACTGCGATGATACGAGCAGTTCAGATGTGCAACAAAACAGCACTTTGAAATGAAGCTTTTTTCTCGTGAGAGATTCTATCTTAAAGCTTAAATGTCAGTCAAGTATCTGTTTTGCTTTATATTATTATATACGAGATAGTTTATTAAATGCCTATTACTGGAGGAGTTTACGAGTATGTGACCCACTACCTTCATGCTTTAGTCTAATTTTTTGGTCTTGAAATGAACATTTGAAAATTAAAATACAGATAACTATAAATGTGTTATGTAGAAGTAAATACGAGCGTTTTTTTCTCAAGGAGGGAGACATCCGCCAACTAAAATTTATTTATATGGATCAGAAATAATCTAATTCATCATTGCCCTAGTTGATCATTGTTCCTTTAGACCAAGCAGCGTAAGAACCCTAGATGACCAAGAAACCCATCGTAGTTTGCCTTCAACGATAAAACCTGCACATAGCTCTGATATTCCTCCAGATAATCTGGCTTTTTAAGTACAAACATGGTGAAGTTCCTTAGATTCTGAGTAACTAAGTACAATTACAACAAATCTTATCTAAAGAGCCGGAACATTTCTTGACCTATTTGTAATTATGGTGCTCTAATGGAACCCTTGTTAAAGTTATAGGATAGTTAGTAAGATTTTCCCTTCTTCAGCAGTTCATGTTATATTCAGAATGAAACATAGAAGTGTAAAAATAAAAGTTTCTTTAATGAATCAGAGAACCCAAACAAAAGTTTAGATTAAAGAACCGTTTTTTGAATCAGTCAAATTACTCATGGATGTTCAATGAATTATAGCATCAGGGTTTGATGACTGATTTTTGTCCAGTGTGACCACTAAACAAATTAGGACTAAAGGGTGGAAATGAACATTTCTCTTTCTCTACGGCGAAACAAAAATAAATTTGAACATTTATGCAGATGATGCCCTTGCAGAATCTTCATCAACCTTTTCTGTCGTGGATCTTAAACATAAACATTGTCATTCCCCAAGTTAAGATACTTGCTAGATTCAAAAGGTCCAATTAAAAAATATTGCTCAACAGCATACAGTATTTACAGCCAGCTACTTGGCAAAATTGACCAACCAGGAAAGGAAAAGTTGACTTGTTAAACCGTCCGGCAAAAAAAGACATAAGCAACAGTTCTTCAGTTATGTTGAATTCCTCCTTTCTTTATCTCTCTTTTGTTTACTTTAGTTATCTCAATTTGGAGCAAAGAATTTATCAAGACAATTTGGTTTTATCGACTGAGTTGATGATGTATTTGGTCTTTCTCTATGACGAACGGCTAACACTTGAAACTTCAACTTTGCAAACTCTTTACGGTGATAAATTTATATCATCAACTTAATTGATAAAATCAACTTATCTTGCTAAACTCCCCCGCCAATGCAGCACCACAGTTTCTTTAGAAACTTACTCCATTTATTAAATAATTTATCATTTGTTGTCGGTGAAAATCTCACTCTCATGGTGAGGAAAGGGTGAATACTGAAATCCTGACTCACTCTTGGTTAGAATATTCGTCATGACTGGTTTCCTGGGTTCCCTGGGAATAGCAACCGGCACCACTAGGTCCTCAAATGGAGTGTTCCATGGTTGCGGTTTTCCACTTCCGAGAAAGATATAAGTAATCCAGCCGAGAACGAAAATTCCTGCATTGATAAAGAATACTTTCTGCCACTGAATAGTTGTTGGCTGCGAAAATAAAAGGGAACAATTAATGAAAAAAAATTAAACTAAGAGTACTATTGCCCTGGGTAGCCCAGCTTCTTCACACCCTGCGCGGCACGGGTGCTGGTTGATCAACCACGCCATGAAAACGACTGGAGTCGAGTAAGCCCTTTGAAACAGAGATAGTGTTGGTAGTGGTAAAGGTTTTGGTATTTTAGTTCTATTTCTGATGGTAGTGGTAGTACTGGAGGTGGTGATGATGCGAATGTTAGTCTTACGTAGTGCCTTCGAATTTGATGGAGGTCGTTGTGGTGGCTGCCGTTGTCGTTGTGGATACAGTGTTGGTCGAGGCGTTTATGGTAATAGTATCAGTTGTGGCGGAGGTGGTGTTGGTACTGGTTGTTATAGTGATAATGGTAACAGTAGAGGTGGTGACAGAGGAAATGGTGGTATTGGTAGTGCTGGTTGTAGTGTTTATGGTAGCAGTGGTGGTGGTTATAGAAGAAATGGTGGCAAGCGAGGCAGAAATAAAAGTGCTAGATTATTGGTACAGTGGTTTTGGTAGTATAGGTGTCATAGTGATTTTGGTGGTGCCGGTGGCAGAGTGGTGTTGGTAGTGCCGGTGGTATAGTGGTGCTGGTAATACTGGTGGCATAGTGGTGTAGGTAGTATATGTGGCATAGTGGTGTAGGTAGATTATTGGTACAGCGGTGTTAGTAGCGTTGATGGTACTGTGGTATTGGTAGTATTGATGGTATATTGTTGTGGCTAGTATTGATTGTATATTAGTGTTGGTAGAATAGTGGTATTGATAGATTATTGGTAGAGTGGTTTTGATAGTATAGCTGGTATATTGGTGTTGGAAGATTATCCGCACAGTGGTTTTGGTAGTATTGGTGGTGTATTGGTGTTGGTAGTATGGGTGGTATATTGGTGTTAGTGGCGCTGAGGTTAAGTGGTGTTAGGCTGGTGATATTTTGCTGTTGGAAGTATTCTTGGTATAGCGTTGTTGGTATAGTGGTGTCGGTGGTATTGATGGTTTATTGGTGTTGGTATTATAGGTGGTATAGTGGTGTTGGTAGATTATTGGTAGAGTGGTTTTGGTAGTGTAGCTGGTATATTGGTGTTGGTAGATTATCGGCCTAGTGGTTTTGTATTGGTGGTGTATTGGTATTGGTAGTAAAGGTGGTATGTTGGTGTTGGTAGCATAGGTAGTATATCGGTGTTAGTGGTGCTAGTGGTTTAGTGGTGTTGAGCTGGTGATATTTTGCTGGTGGTAGTATTGTTGGTATAGTATGTTGGTAGTATTGGTGGTATAGTGGTTCTTTTAGTTTTGGTGGTATGGTGATGTTGATAGTGTTGATGGTATATGGGTTTTGGTAACATAGCTGGTATATTGGTGTTGTAGATTATCTGCACAATGATTTTGGTAATATTGGTGGTGTATCGGTGTTGGTAGTAAAGATGGTATATTGGTGTTGGTAGTATAGGTGGTATATTGGTGTTAATGGTGCCGGTGGTTTAGTGGTATTGGACTAGTGATATTTTGCTGTTGGTAGTATTGTTGGTATAGTATTGTTGGTATAGTGTTGTTGGTATAGTGGTCTTGGTAGTATTGATGGTATATTGGTGTTGGTATTATAGGTGGTAAAGTGGTGTTGGTAGATTTTTGGTACAGTGGTTTTGGTAGTATAGCTGGTATTTTGGTGTTTATGGTGCTGGTGGTTTAGAGGTGTTGGCTGGTGACATTTTTCTGTTGGTAGTATTGTTGGTATTGTGGTGTTGGTAGTATTGGTAGTATGGTGGTGTTGGTATTATAGGTGGTATATTGGTGTTACTGGTGTTGGGCTGGTGATATTTTGCTGTTGGTAGTATTGTTGGTATAGTGGTGTTGGTAGTATTGGTAGTATAGTGGTGTTGTTAGTGTTGGTGGTAAAGTGGTGTTGGTAATATTGATGGTATAAAGCTGTTGGTAGTATAGTTTGTACGGTGGTGTTGGTAGATTATTAGTAGAGCGGTTCTGGTAGTATTGGTGGCATATTGGTGTTGTTAGTAAAGGTGGCATATCGGTGTTAGTAGTATTTGAATTGGTTGTGGTAATGCTGTTTAGCGGCGGTGCTGGCTGGTTGTGCTGGTAGCGGTGGCAGATGTGTTGATGGAAGTGGTCTTAGTAATGGAAGTGATGTTAGTGGCGGTAGAGGTGATGGTGTTGTTGATAGTAGAGGAAGTGGTTGATTTGGTGATGACATTGGTGTTAGTGGTAGTAATAATTATGACAGTAAAAGGTAAAGCAGTGGTTGAAGTAGTGACAGTGAAATTAATATGGGATATAATCATTTATGATCGAGATCTTTTACAAGATATCTGCAGTGTACAGCATGCTACTGAAGCAACATTTTTATGCCGCTCACTTTCTAAAGTAATGCACGACTGAATCTGAACAAATATCATGTGGTATTTCTTCATTACATGAATTGCTATGGTTCCTAGGTAACCAAATGTCAGTTTTGAAGTTCTTAATTCACGGATTTTCGTAATTATATTGAGAGGAATCTTTTTCAAACGGGAAATCCATAATACATTTAATCATAACCATTACAATTTCCGCAAATGCAATTGGTGCATTAACTGTTTTATTTCTCACTAATTATTCTGTAGAGTCGTAATCGGACAATTGGTTCCAGTCGGACACTTGCAATGGACAGTTCAAGCAGCTACTCATACTAAGGCTCACATAATTGATTACGATAACAATAGCGACAACCACTTACCCCGCAAACCTGGGGAATTTCCAAATTTGAGGAACAATGTCTTTACTGAAGATATTTTCTGAAGTAAATGCATTTTTTTTTCGGAAATTGAAATGGTTATGGTAATTAGTATAACAGGACTTCGTTACGTCCAATTCTGCTTGTAATCATGCTCGTAATTAACAAATCACTCGGATGATTTCAGACCGAATTGGACTCCATTTGGTCCTACTACCATTTTGAATTGAAATCTATGAAAAGTCGATACCTGATTGTTTGTTATGATCCCAACCAAATACGGTGCAACTATCCCAGGAATTGTGGCTGCCAAGTTGGAGATTGCCATAACATGTTCTGAATATCTATTGGCTATGTCCAAGATATTGGCAAAAATAGAAATTGAGGAAAGGGCTGATATTCCCGTAGCCAGAGAACATAGGACAACAGCAAGAGTCGGTTGGTCGCAGGTAACATAACTTGTTGACACAATGAGACTTGCAGGAATGAGGAAGCCTAAAATGAATGGATGAACTTAGAAGTCAAAAACCTTTTAAATAAATTCCTTTAATACTTATTATTAAATTTCGCGCTCGAATTTTGCACTTCTACCGTTTTGATTGAAATCAACAGACATTTCGCCGACCCGAGGGAAAGGAAATTACCAGCAGTCAAAGACACTTTTCTCGTTTGTCCTGTAGTTAATATTCCTCTGCTACGAAGCCAGTCCGCCAGTTGCCCACCTCCGACACCAACTATGGTATGCAGTAAATATGGAAGACCGGACACGAAACCAGTCTAGAGAATAAAAATTTGAAATTCGTTACTTAACATATGAATTTATCACAATACTGGGCCTCGAGATTCTCAAAGAACAGATGTTCCCTTGGCTACTTTAGAGGACAAAGTTAATGTTTCTAATTACGAAGAGGCAATTCGAGTGACATTCTAAGTTTAAGTTGCCGTTCTTCAAGTCGTTAGATTCTAAACGTTTAAGTCAGAAGAGGTCTCCTCTTTTAAATAGCAGAGAAACAAGAGATAATGTTGTACGTTAAGTATGTTTACGCCCAATCGCTGATTAGCTCTCAATTTCAGTGACAGAAGACATTTATTTATTATATACATTTGGTCTCTGAAAGCAAGTGTAAGGCCAATCAAATTCCTATTTCCTAACAAAACCGTCACAGAAGGCGGTCGTTCAGGTAATGACCAGGTTATGCAACAAGTCGTGCTGATGGGTCTTTAGCAAATTTTTCCTGATCTGTTCCCTAAACAACCACCTTTTGCGACGGCTTTGTTACGCAGTATGCCTCCGTACGCGACAGACCTCTTACTGAAAGATGAGGAGTTGCCAAGCGCCAATTCATAACAAATTCATTTTGACCGCACACTCGTATCTTGTCACTAATTACACACATTTTATGGTTTGAACGGCTACTGCCTTTTGTCACATGAAGAACATACATTTATAGCGTCTAAAAGAGAAAGGAAAAATATTTAAACGTACAGTCATTGGCCAGCGGGAGATATCTAGTATATTCCTGCCTACAATATTGCGCTGTTTTAACTAGTATTTCCCCTACAAGTCATTTCTCACACTCTTCAATAAAACTTAGTAACACCAAATATGGTAGGGCCTATTTAAATAACACTTACCTTAGAAATGGCTAAATTGAGGGCTTCTCTGAAGTAAGAAGGTAGTAAAGAAATACAAGTGAAATTCACCCAGTTGAAACAAAAATGTGCGGTTATTATGGCCCATACAGGTAATGATGTTAAAAGCTGCCGCCAGAGAATTTTCGGTTGCTAATAAATAGAGAAGAAATGAGAAATGTTAATGACTCGTGCTGTCTTGATATTGAGAGCTATTTTTTGGTTTGCTGAAATAATGAACAAAGTACATCTGTAAGACCGAGCATTTTCGGCCATAAGCATATCTGAAGACGAATGAGCAATTTTCGGAACGCTCTCTCGCCAACTTTACCCAAACTTCCCGCAACAGAATTTGCAACAAAAAAAGAATTGATGTTCAATATTATATCTCTTACTAACCGAGTTCGAGGTCCGCACTGTAAATTAGTTTTTCCGATCAGATTTGTGGGAAACCCGATTTTGGATTTAAAGAACGGAATAAAACACAAAGCTGTTGTCATATACATACTACCTTCTTTTCTTGTTTAGCGCCTAGACTTGACAAGATGTACTCTCTCTCTTCCGTTGATATCCAAGGGTGATGTATTGGTTTGTTATGAGCGAATATCATCCAAGTAACAAACCAAACAAGAGCTACAGAGCCTGCGATAAGATGAAAATATGCGGGTAATTTTGGAATCAGGATGCGTCGGAAAAGAAAGACCACCACGCAAGCCACACGTTCCGGTCGGCGCCGCAGCAGGAAGGGACTTTAATTTCCTACAATACGAGAAGTCCCTCCTTTTCGGTGAAGTCGGTCGCGGGAGTCGAACAAAAAGACGTGAAAAAAAACTGACGTTAACGTGCCGCGGGGAGAAGCCGCTCACTTATCAAAAAAGGACTAAGACTTCGTGAATGCTATCTTTGAATACAAATTACAAGAACACACTCGGCAAAAGTCGATGGTTCCTTGACCGGCCTGCCCTTCCCAATTATCTACTTAGGAGTTTAGTTCGCGAGACTCACCTATTTGAAGCACTTAATAAATTTCCAGTTTATCGGGCGCCCCGAAATTTGTAATGTTTTTACACCCACGTCTTGCGATGACATGAACATTGACTTGTATTAAGATACGGAATCTTCATTGGTTACGCTCAATTGAGATTATTATTTGACGGCTGAAAACCATTCCATCGTGCAAGGTCAATTTTTTTTAAAATTTTTTTCAGATTGCGCGACGGACTTCGCCGAAAAGGAGGGACCGCTCCTAGTCAAGACTATAGTTCCCGTGATTAGTCCCGGGGACCAAGTGAGTGTAAGTCGAAGCTTGTGTTGCAAGTATCGAGTCGACTTTCTCGCTGTATCGTACATTTCAGCGACCGAAGGCTTCGAGTAGCAGGTATTGTGAGTTTCCAATTATCATCGTTAATGAAATTCAAACAGGCTAAGTATTCAGTGACGTTAGTAGCGAACTCGATGTGAAATGTAGCAAAAATGAAGTAAATTAAAACGTAGCTAACTCGGAATGTAGCGAAACCAGCTGTTACCTTTTATGTAATCACGTACCAAAAATGTAAAATGTTGACGGCCATCCTCCCCAGAGATCAGAGGCACACAGCAAACCAGACAAATACATACCAAGAAACCCACCAAATGGAATTCCTAATTAACATAAAGTAAACATAAAATTTAACAAATGTGTTTGAGAATTTGAAGATGCCCTCCTGTGCGAAAAAAGGGTTATTCAGTTACGTCCAAGCTAATAAGGGTAAAAAATAAGCTTACGAGCCACGAGTCCCAGTTTGTACCAGAGCTTATACCGGTATCCATAGCATCATTGGTGAAGCGACTGAGAGTGTCCCATTTCCTTTGAACAGGATGCTAGTCAGGATTTTTAAGGATTTGATGACTGTTTCCCGGTACCTGTACATACCACTTGGTGAAGATGTCGTTGTGAGAGTGAGATATCTTGCTTAGGTATACAACACACTCTCAGGCTCGAACTTGAAACTTTTGGTAAAATAACCCATCGCGTCTTCCTGTCAACTACACTGGAAGTATTCTTGAAACTGACACACAACCACAGGGTCTTTTACTTGACTCCGCACTCGATAAGTCACATTTTCTTTCATTCAAAATACTTCGAGCAATTTAATTTTAAAACGGTCTTAAAATGGCTTTAAAATGGTTTTCCTCTCAGAAAAGCACTAGCTTGGAAGAAATTTCCCTGTAGTTATCAACAGTACCTGAGTAAGCCAAGGCGCAAAGCTTGCTTCTCTCTAGAGGGGGAGCCCAGCTACTCCACATGGCATGCATGGCTGGGAACGTCACACCCTGTCATTACAAAATTGATTACGTGTATTTCACCAGACATGCATACATACTTCACTAATTTGAATAGTTTAGTAAGAAAAGGGTAGGGCTTGGTGAATGTGAATCTCTGTCTCATGATTTAGAAAAATCTTGAAAAACAAACTTTCATTTCTCGTAGCCTTATGTATGGAGATAAAAATAACACTTGGATATGAAATCATACAGCTACTTTAACCTTGAGTAACAATTATTTGCTACACGTATTGATTATTCTCTGAGTTATCCCAGATTACTAAATGTTTTAAAGTAAAAATAAAAATCTTCTTATTCTCCAATCCTACCGAGCTGAACCAGAGAACCGGAGTTCTCAGAGCAGAAGATAGGGAATTGACTTTACACCAGGTCTTAATAAGACGCCAGTTGAGGGAATCGAACCTGGATCACAGCAGCGGGGGGAAAACTCTTAAAGATAGTCCAGTATCCCGACTCTGAAAATCCTAAACCAGATTTCTGTAATAAATCATAACATTCTTGACATAAAATAAGAGGGAAAAAAAGCAAATATTGATGAGAAAACTGACCATGACAAGTCCTTGTAGAATTCTGACCAGAATGAGCATTTCAACACTGTGATGTGCCGCAGCAGGTGTAAGTATCGTGAACACTGATGTAATGAACATAGGGACACCAAACAAATACTTGGGACCCACTCTTTTTACCAACAAACTGCCTGGCAGTTGTGTGAAAATGTAACCATAATAAGTTGAGCTCAAGATGAGTCCTGTCAAAACAAAATGTGCTTGTTTCTAAGTCAGTATTACTTAAGGACCAGTCGTTATTTAACGTCAAAGGGTGTAGGGGATGGGTGGAGGATTTTGGGGGATCACATGGTTTTCGTCGCGAACAGAGCATACTTGAAAGGGGGTACTATAGAAAATTGACCGCCAATTAACTGCCAATAACACGCGGATCATAGAAATATTACCGAGCCATATGGGGGATGATTAACTTTCATTGTGACACAACAAAAATGCTCCAGCCCCCTCCCCCCCTTCCCCCCCCCTTATCCAGAAAAATAAAAAAAATCATTTAGAATATATTTATATTTATTCCTCGAAGTCCGGTGTTCTTGTGACTCAAAAGTATCTGAAGTGAGAGCAATACACATAAACGACTGATAAAGTAGCATGGAGTTGAAAAACATGTTTGCATGTTGAATACTCAGCCGCTTAAATTATAGACATCATAGACTAGTGAGAAACTGATGTATTTCAGCCAAGTGAAATTTGGCTCAGGGTAACGTCAAATGCCCTTAGCCTGATTAAGCTTGGAATTTTTTATTTTCTTCACACTTCATGGCGCCTCAACGTGGGGTGCAGTTTGTAAACTTATTGGTCCTTGCATCTCATTTGGTTACGGCTCTTCACCGATTCGGAGGGGATCTTTTTTTACCGCTTTCTTCAGGTTCCAGATAGACCTAAGCAATTCACTTTCATGACCTTTTGTATCTTTTTTAATTGTACCTTAACATTTTTCTATTTGCATCATAACAAGACGTCTAAATTGATCACAGTATGAACTAACTCCTACCTTGCATTTCTTGATCCCAGTTAAACATTCCGCTCTAAAAAAAACCATTCAATACCAATATTACTTGGGCGATGTGAAACGATTACAAGAACCGCCAAACGTCTCATTTCTTCATCTTTCTTTTGTGTTTTACGTGCCTTTCATGAATCATCAATCGTAAGAATCATGAATAGAAAAAAAGGGATTTGGGCTAACCCAAGTTGTGCTGAGGAAAATAACGTCTCGAAAATTTTCCTCATACGAACCTTAATTCCATCCGGGACACCGCTATTTTGATTCTTCAAAAACGAATTAAATTAACTGTGATGTTTTCAAAATGGCTGCATCCAAATTTGAATTAATTCTTGGGAACAATGAAGACAATTTTTGAAAAACGAAGTTGGTAATAGATAAAAATTATATAGTTTTCAAAGCATATTTCTCTATTAAGAGGTCGATTATGTGAAATAGCCTGACTGGTTGCCGAGAAAATCGATATAACATGGACGAAGGCAGCCAATTATGTTTAAGAATAGAAGAGATTGGACCGGTGCACACGAGCAATAGCTCGAGTTGTTAGCAAGTTTGGTCCGGTATACTTACATATATTGTTATCTGAAAAAAAATTACTGTGCAGATGATCGGTATCCAAGCTAACGGGGCTTCCTCGGTTTCCACCTTATCTCGAATTCTTAATTGAAGTTTGTTTCATTAATTCAGCGCGACGAGATCCTGGTAAACCGAGCCAGTTCGGCCAGTTCGTGCGGTAATAACACAGCTTTTGAGTGAGAAAGTTCATTACAAGGTAATATATCACCAACCTCTTTCGAAGGCTCTTCTGGTGTGTTTCTTCGACACTCGGGATTATTCGCCGTAACCGCCTTGACATTGGAATAACTTGAATTAACCATCGCCACTAAAGCCACACTCAAGCTCGCTCTCATAGCGTTCGAAACACAGAAACCGCAGAAGGATAGGATCGCCAGTACGTAACGACATGGAAAATAACATTTTAAGTTCAAACGAAATCTTGAGGTGTCTTGCTTCAGTAATGGCGGTCTGTCATCCATCGAAACCCAGAATTTTTAGCCAAGTAATAAATTATGATTTTGAGGTCGGCGTTACATAAATCCAGCATGAGTATTTCTAAAGCTTTTTTCAGATGCATGACACGAGGGTCTCAAAGGGATTTAACCAGCAGCCGTCAATGGGGCTAAAATTTAACCTTCAGCCGTCAAAAAGGACACATTTTTATCGTCAACCGTCATAAAAGCAGCTTAATATTAACCGTCAGACGCTTTGCAGATGTTTCGCATCTCACTATTTTCCCCATTACTGCTGCTCAGCGCGAACAGTTGAAGATCTTAAAGGATCTTCAGACTGGTAAACCATAGTCCAGGTTTCCATATATACTCACCTTATGGTCATGTGTACTGATTTTCGCCTAAACTGACAATTTTGTTAAATCACATTCTGATAGCTAGTATCTAAAAGGGCTAACTTTCTTCAGTTCATAACTTATTTCTCCTAGCCAGTGACCAAGCCACGCCACGCAGTGTTATTCCCGCCTCTCGACCAAGTCACTGCAGACAAGTTTACATCATGTCATGTCATGTCATGTCGAGCCTGTTGAGAGCCGTCGAGAGCTCTATTGTTAAGCAGAAGATAAAGCGTTAGAGCGATTCAAAGCAAGAATTTCTGTAGGATCAATGTCATCAACGACTAGTCCAACAAACTTGAACTCAGTTCATATGAGCTCTACCAGCTTAGAAAATTAGTGAACCTCCACACCTTTTCAGCGTCCTACAATGTGCTGTGGAATTGGTTGCATCTCCAAGGAGTCCCTTATATTAGACGAATCACAAAGTGGGCGGCTAGTGCTCTACTAACCCTAGCTCTTAACACCCACTGCCCCAGTCTGTTATTCATTTCCATTCTGTCCATTTGAGGAACTTCTGTCTTGTGAGACAATTTCCAAAGAAAGGGAAGTTTTTACGAGAGAGTGGATAGAGAGCTACAGACCACTGAGACAGAGGACTGTCAGAGCAGAGATCACTGACTAAGGCCAGAAAGCAGATCCAACCATAACCTTTGTTAACGATACAAGTATACCACGTCACAATTCCATACTAGCGTTGGACTTGAACCAACACAGGTTGATGAGTAGGAAAACGACTCAGAAATTGAATTCACGTAAAATGAAGATGAAGAGTTAATTAGGGGACTTTCCTATTCTTAGACTTTCCGCTACAAAATCTGGACGGCAAATTAAAGACTCAGCAAAATTTGATCTTTGAATCCACCCCACTGCTAATTGACACGATTAAACTAGAGAGTACTCTTATATTGTAGTAAAGCATAGAATTGTACCATCATCCATTGCAAGTTAGGACATTTTGCATCGTACGTCAACTTCATCTACCCGCCATAACGAATCAGATCAGATGGAATCAGCAATGACGTAGTGTTTGGACTAGCTAGGAGTCGAATTTGCAGTTTGGCCATGCTATCAGGTTGAGTGACAACAGCTCAGAGAAGGCACTGATGTTAAATGAAATGTCAACAGCAGTTTATAAACTCTGGGTTGCTATTGATCGCCAAATGGAACAGCTTCAGAAAACCGCCTTGATAAATCCTGAAAGCCCTAAAATTTAACCAGCAGTAGTCAAAATCCGAAAAAATCAATCGTCAGCTGTTAAACTTGCCCTCCCCCCCATTGAGACCCTCCTGAACAACAACCTCTAGTCACAGTTGCAGGTGGGATCAACGAGGGGAGGGTCCACAGGGGGAAAAACAGGGAGGTCAATAGGATCAACAGAGAAGTCAACAGGGGGTCAACAGGGGTATGTAAATTCGGCTACCATCATTACAATCGTTGGAACTGTTAGATCTGCCGATCCAGCCTCATTTTCGTTCAAATCTTTGTTGCAGTAAAAGACTCTTAAAACTTTCCGTGATATAAATTAACTGCAAAATGAGAGTCTACATGTATGTTTATTTCCTATTTAAATTCACGAATCATACACAAGAGTAGATGTGCAGCTCGAACTAGGAGCCCGAGTATTTAATGCTGTTCGACAAAGCTACACAGAATAGTAAACAACTAGTCATCACCTCTCGGGCTAAAACGTTTTTGTGCCGCCGCCTCAAAACCCACAAAACCCAATGGGAAAAATGGGAACGTATTCCCCATCCAAATGCAGGCGCGCCAACCTCTGAGGGTTAGAGGTAAAACAGCTTAATTTCGTGCAAGCTAAAATTTAAGGTAAAACTAGAAAAGCTCGAAAGCTAAGATGAATACATCACAAATGTTAAACCTTAAATACGCTCTACAACAAAAGACTCAATTAACGCCATAGCGGCCCACGTGCTAACATACCAATTGGAAAATAATTACATTCTTTGTCACTGCCACTTACAGTTTAGTTCCGCCCACTGTAAATACATATCTGTTTTGCCTTTCTTCTACGACATTCGATTTTACCCTTTTTATAATCATTTTCGGTTTTTTGAGAGTGATGTTTAGGATATTAGACCTATTAAAAACTGTCCTGCCAAGCTAGCAAGCCTAGGGCTCTAAGTCATAAGGCTGAAAACTTACTGAAATTAATTCTAAACACCAACATACCGAGCGAGCCCGAGTGAGCCCGAGTGAGCCCGACCAAATAGCGATGCGATCCACATTCCCAACTTTTAAACAGACAGAATGCGGAATTCTTGCTGAAATTTTTTGCCAAAACTGTTTTTTTTTCTTTTTTGCAAAAATCCCCAATCCGTGAGTATTTGGTTTCCAAATCCTCCCGCATACATAAGCCGACTTCGTTACTTTCAGTTGAAAAGAGATTGACAAAAACTGATCACAGTTTACGTATTTTAATTCTTATCAAAAAAAAAATGAACTGCGGGGCACTTAAACCTTGACATCCTTGCAGGCTTTAGATCATAGGATGGCGGAAAAACCAAGCGAACGAAAAAACAACACAACTATCAAACGCAAAGCATGCGTAAATATGTCGAGCTCGGTTTTTCCGCGCAAACTTTTGGAGGAAAACATAGCAAACAACCAGGGTAATGCACAAATTGCGAAAAGAAAATGAATCACCAGTAAGAATATATAAAAACTAACAAATATTAAGAAAAGGAAGGAACACTAAAATTTGAGGTATTGTTGACTTATTGTTTTAAATTTTAAGCCAAATCAAAAGTCATTCTCTTTGACTTCACCTTGAATTACCGACCCGTGTGGGTTTCTTAGGAAATTCATTAACTTGGTTCCGAAAGCCTAAAAGTTAGATGTCCATTCCATTCCTTTCTGTCTGTGGTTCTATGGGTGTCTTAACTTTCGCGCATGCGCATTCGTTTGACTCCTAGTTCAGCGGAAAATGATTGATCTTGTCGGCCAAGCGTCGTTCTTCTGCAATTTCACTCATCGCCTTAAAGAAGCTAGAAATAAACTGGATTCATTCATTGACAGACTTGGCATATTTACAGTTTATCCGCGGAGAGAGTTGGAGGAACATAGACAGACAGTTGCCCAACAGGGGGTTGTCTAGAGCGCGTCGTCCGAAATATTTCCCATAATCCTACTAGTGACAACTAGTTTCCAGGATAGGCCGCGGATTTCGAAAAAAAATGTTATCATTCAGTCATTCCCGTGATTAACACGAGGTACTTTGATGAGAACATAGCCTACCAATGGATGAAAGCTTACTCACCCGTGATCAAGCCTCCAGCAAATCTCGCCGAAATTCAGGATGTTATTTGCCCTGTCGATACGTGCTAGCAATGTTGGCTTGCGCAGGTTTTTCTGTGGTTTACCTGTTACGAGTGAACTTGAGTGTAGCTTTGGTTGCAATGGTTAATTCGACTTACGCTAATTCGAAGGCTTCCGCGAATAATCCTGAATGCCAAAGAAACACATCAAAAACATCTACAGAAAAGGTAGGTGTACGTACCCTATGCAACCGTTAAAGGACTTAATTGATTTGGCCCAACCCGTGTGTGATTGTGTGGGATTTTTTGTGTGAAAAATACATATGTATGTGAAGGTATCAACGATAAAAATAATTTAATGATGTCTTTAAATCTCGGCAATGTTCAACTTCCGTCGTAATTATAGTTTGGTCTTGTCACGCAACGCGCGTCAGCAACATCTCGTTGCGTGACAAGACCTGGCAATGGTTGCTTTATTCCCATGTATGACAACAAAATTTAACTTCACAGGTTATCTTTTTATAATCAAACGAAGATTTCTCTCAGCGGTGAAGGTTTCTTTTAACATAGTATTTACTGTTCTGATGGCAAATGAACTGCATGCTGTTATATTGCAGGAGGGAGAGTTTGAGTGGGATCAGGAGACACAAGGTGGGATTATGACTTGATCAGTAAATTAACCCTTAAACTCCCAGATGTGATTAACACGAAACTTCTCCCTATAACATCCTCACATTATCC